TTTTAAGTTCCAAAAGTATTTAGAAAGGGACGTCCTATTTCTGCATGCGTCATTGGTGAAAGATAATATATGTTGGTATCACCTAATTTTAAAGTAATTCTTGGTACTCCCGATATAAAAATGTTTTAACTGTTGAATTTTCTATAATATAAAGAGTGCTTAGGTAAACAAGAGAGTTTTTATATATCGGTTTTGCAATGGACATTCATTAGGATTTCTATAATTACACTTGTTGGTATTATCTGCATTAGTTGCTTTGGAATGGCTAGTAATACTTATGTTTTTGTAATGATTTAAATGTTATTACTGTTTTTCAATAATATTTTCAAGATATAGTTTATCTTTTACCTTAAAATATAGTTAAATTTAAAAAAAAAATTATGCATTACCATTTCTTATACCCATAATTTATTAGTAAATAATGATTTACCCTCTTCGAATAATTAACTAATTTTCTTTATTCAGCTTTAATACTGATATGTGTTGCCGTCAAGTTAGTATTATTAATATCTTATATTAATCTTCCACATTTTTAATTTTATCTACAGGCCCCTTTAAGAAGCTTCCTGAATCTAAAATTAAAAACAAATTCTGTTGAAATTAACTTTATGTCTGATTATCCTCTTAGCCCTCCTTCAACGTTCTTTGAAAAATTGAACATATCCTGTTTGTCTACAATCATGATACATTGGTTGATTACATATTTTCCGCAATTGTCAATAATAGACTACCAATGTTCCGGTTTATGATGAAATGAAAAAATACCCCACACCTCCACTCACTGAACTTGCATTTCTATTTAGTGCAGATCTGACATTTAATTGGTTAATCCAGGCACACCCATAAGTCTATTTTTAATTCTGACCTTATGTTTTCCACCAATTTATCTTTCGGAAATGAGGTAACACTTTGCTTTTGAAATTTTCTTAAAAAACATTTAATCACTAATTACTTACCTTCGTTTGAAGTAGTATAATCAAAATATTGAAACATGAAAGCTTTTGTGTAGCGATTTCAACATGTTTTTATTATAATCTCTTATAATAAAATTTATAATATATATAGTATCCTAAAAAAATGAAGCTAATAGGACAAAGTGGAAAACTTTTCGTCGACGTGTGTTATGTTCGAGTCTTCAGGTCCGAATGAAAGACAAAACTGAATGTAAGGGAAATGCGTTTGGCTTTTGGAAGATAAGAGAAACAATACAGTAAATTACCTTATCAAATCCGACGACAATGATAACGGGAAGTGATTTAAAGAAGAAAAATTTATATATTAGATCCGTTGGTGTATGATAGGTTTGAAATCATCCCAATTTTTTCTCTATTATTTCGTATACCGCATTGTGCCTTTTGTGATTATCTGTGATATTATGTATCGTCTTATGTTTATTGTCGAGAAGTGTAAGATTAGCGCACTTTCAATGCATTTCCTTCTTACCTTATTCTTCCCTCTTCTGATTAGACTGGCATTTATTCATTCGAGGTTGAGGTTAGATGTATTGTGCTGAACTTCCAATTTGTTTAAGTTGTAGTTATCCAGCTAGGATCATGTGCCTATTTTTCTATCATGTACATCATTGCTTGAACCGACTTCTAATGCTCTAGAGTGAGCGGCTTGGTGGGAGTAGTTGTGACTCCAGGGGGCACAGTCCTATGGTTAGAGATAACTCAGTAGAGTTCCACCACAGAATATATGAGCGAGCGGCGCTATGTTGAGTCTGATTTGCAATCTCTTCGTCACCGAGACCCAGTGGAACAGTTGGTATGATGTTTGCTTGACAACCTGTCAGGGTTTCAATTCTCAGTAGTGGATGCGCACTGCTGATGAGTCCCAAATATAGGACGAAACGGCCGTCCAGTGCTTTCTGCATTCTGTTGAGATTTCTATCAGACTCGATGAGTTACTTAAATATAATTATCAAATCCTCCTAATAATTTCTATTATATATATATATATATATATATATATATATGAAGAAATATAGTCTTAAGATGTGATATATTTATGGGATAGAGTGCTCAATATCAGAGATAGAGCGTGTGTAAATATAAAAGGGAACATAGTAGTCAACACTGTCACTGTTTCATGCTAGATGCAATCGTCAGGCCATATATATATATGACACAGCTGTATCAGCGTGGCTGAAGAGCTGTGATACAGCGAAACAGTCTTTCTGTGGATGACTATATATATATGCTCTCGGTATAACTGATAGAGTTCTCTGGATAAAAGGCTGTTGCTATTAATGCATTGCTCTTCAAGTACGAATTGAGCTCTCCTGGCAACTGGCGTATTTCGCATAGAAAACGTTAAAATTTCCCATTCTCTCTGCTATGCGCCGGTAGATTAAGGGTAGGATCTCTGACTGATAAAAAATCGGCCGAATTACGATCTCGGCTTGAAACAATCGGACGTCTAGCCACACAGAAGTGCTGTTATACAGTAAAACAGTCAGATGATTGGGCACCTGGCAAAGGGATATTCATTCAGGTGTAGCATGCCTTTCGCAAGTAAACCTGTCGGATCCCATCTTTGTTCACGCTAAACCACACCCGATATTTTCCGTCACATGTCCATGACGAAGGTGAACTGAAGGCCAGCCTTCGTCATGGACAATTGGCAGTTGATTCCATTTGAATTCAGTCTATGAAATCCCCCACCCACCGATGCCGTGTCATGACCTCACTGACTGCATACATAGTTATGCAGCCAAGACTATCCCGTTGGCACTACAAGAAAAATTGGTACGCAGATGACAGACTGAATGCAAGAGGGACAAGAGAAAACAATGCTTAACCTACTTAGCGAGCATGAGTAAATGGATGGAAGAACAAGATTTAGGAGAGATAACAAACATGTAGCAGAATTTTATGTGGGCCATAAAATTCAAGCTAGCAGTCTCACGTCACAAGAACTCTTCCTCTACGCAATTTAAGGACTCGTAAACAAAACTTCCGACTGAAATCTAGATACCCGTTTTATCGTACCTAATTTGCATAGGACAACGCAAATCCCTTTCAGAATTTACATATCTTTCGATATTCACGTTGACGACGAGAATTTATGCAGGTCATGCGCGACACTTTTCTTTTCGACAGGCCAACACAGAGAACGTTCTTTACCCAGATAATTATTTGTTATTGTCGTATTCTTTTTTGGCTTACACTTTTCCTTTCTTCGTTGGAAAACCTAACGCTACCCAAACAATTTGTCGACTGAGCTACAGTCTGTAAGCTTTCATTTAAATGTTTGTACAAATACAACGTTTAAATAATAATTCTGTGGTGACAATTAATGAAAATAACTTCTAATCTACCCTTCTGAAAATACTCTGATTCTTATGATCAGAGAAATCTGTTGATTTTAGTAACTTTTTGAATTTCTAAAGCCCTTAACTTTGGCATTATAATTTGACAAATATTCCCATGTTGGAAACGCATCTAACACCTTATTCCCCCAGTTAACCTACCATTTACCAGGTTAAAGTGCCGTTTATGCTCATATTAATGAATGCCGAATGCTAGGAACTTGAGTTTCCACTACCGTACTCAAATTATTGTGAAAAATTACATGTATACTCGTTCGCTAATTTTTTCTTTGCTCATTGCTTCATTTGTGATAATGGTGTTCACCACCAAAGTACAGGTTCAGGAAATCCTGCTACCGTCATCCATACCATATCGTCGTTTGGTTGGAGTTGAAAGAAAATCAAGTAGAAAAAGTGCCGATGGTGGGATTTGTTTAAGGTGGACCTCAACTTTCTAGGATGTGACCTACACGCTTTATTTCGTGACCTTCCTCTGTGGCACATATGAAATGAGATATGCAGAGTCTAGTTATGAAACTGCAACGGATTGCCGCTGACTCTGTTATAATTCCGAGTGGCGCCTTTTGTAGCATGCCCGCCATGCGTAGCTGGTTCAATCGTTGAGATCTGTAGTAATCATCATCTGCTTGTTCCACCGTTGGGGCCTTTGGGGTTGGTCTGGGTCTCCGTCTTCGACCTTGCCGCCAAGGTATATAATATACGATAATAATTAAAAGTAAACAAATAACTTTTGAGATATTTGGAACATTTACAAAATTAAAAGTCCCAAACTGAGATCATTTCAGTTTTGGAAGCAGCATTTTCACCCCTTAATGTTCACCGTAAAACCAAGATATTAATTATAAACATAAAAAGCAAACCAGCTGTTACAAATATAAGAATAAAAATTCAGGATTAATTATTGGTTCCCCCAAAAATAATCAGGTAATAAATATAGGTCCCTACCCATAAAACATTTATATATAAGGGGATATTAATGGATTTTATTTATTTCAGTAACGATAGATATTTTCAGGCTTGTGAATAATTTCTCTGTTATGTTGTTATGGGCTTATAATAAACAAACGGCAAAAGGTCTAATTTAAATATCACATGACGTCAAGAAAATGCGATATGCAAAGAAAATATAAATTTAATTAATATAGAAAAAAAGGTTATTTTTGATTTAATGAATTTGAAACGCATGCCCACCAAGACACGAGTTCTGGATTTATGAATGCAATGGAGAATTTGATTTCAGAAGTGAAGCTTGAACGAAAAGCAAATTGCAGATATGAGTCTCGCACGTTCGCTTTTAACGTTGACCTAGATATTGAAATTCAAATGATATTGTAATTATGTTCTTGTATCCAGGGTTGAATTAAATTAGTTATCAGTCCTGAAATCATGCAATCTAAGTTTCGATGCGATACAATATTCACATTGATACTTTCGGATGTTTTAGAAACCAATAAAAAAAAATCAAAGTAAAGGATTGAATTTCCATTTAAAGTGCTAGGTCGATATTACAAAATCCTCAATGATATTCAACGAATTAAAAAGACAATGTTCTATATTTTATAAAAGCAACACCATTGAATTCTTTATTCTGATGAGAATATCGGCTAAATGATTTATTCGTGAATCTCTGCTGATTTTCGTTGTCCTGACTTCAATGTTGGCACAGGGCTGCTTCCTTTGTAAAGAAACAACATCAGAGGAAGTACAAATCTATCTATCTATCTATCTATCTATCTATCTATCTATCTATCTATCTATCTATCTATCTATCTCAGTCTATTCCTTGTTTCCTTATCTATCTTTGTGTGTATGTATCAACGTATGTATGCATGTATGTGTGTATATATTTATATATGTCTGCATATATTGATGTATGTGTGTATCTTATATGCATGCACGTATGTATCTATATCTATGTATCTATCTATATCTATGTATCTATCTCACTATGTATCACTGTACCTATATATATCTATGTACCTATGCATGTAACTGTATGCATCTATCTATCTATCTATCTATCTATCTATCTATCTATCTATCTATCTATCTATCTATTTGTCTAAAGTTATTCGAACATAAACCATATATAGATATAGACCATGTGAGTAACTAACATAGCATGGAGACGGTTAGTTTCACTGTTTTGTTTAAAGATCGAATTGAATCCGTCAGTCACCATGCAGGTTTGATACCTATCTCTCTCTCTCTCTCTCTCTCTTTCTCTATGTCTGTTTCTCTCAATATATACATATATTGTAATATTCTCTCTATGTAAATACAAAGATATGTTTTACGTACGTGTTCTTGTATGTTATATATATATAACCTGGGCAACAGATGGACGCTGAAGAATAATTGTCATTTATTTCAACTGTCCGCCGCAATAAATATAAGCTTATCGCTGCCGACTTCCTTGCTATTAGGTTGTTCAGAAAGTAATATCTGATTTTAGAATCAATAGTTATTTCTGAATTAATGTATTTAAATATTATTAAGATTAGTTATACCTTTACGATAAAACTAAAACTGTGAACTCCAATAAATTTTTTAATGCACTTTCGGCATCTTCTTTGAAATTTTTTAACTTTAAAAAAAATTGGTAAGATGCTTAAGTGGTTGTCATTAAGCGATGGATCAGTCGAATATGGTGAATTTGGCAAATTATCCCCAATCGGTGGGTGTGCTACTGTTGCATCATTCTGCTAACATGTAGCCGAGGATTGTCGTGAAACAGATTTGGACCCCATTGATTAACAATTGGTGACACATTTTGTTTCACTGAATATGCTTTTCATCCAGTTGCTGACAGTAAACTTCGGCATTGCTGCTCTGGTTTGATTCCAGAAAGCTGTAATGGATAACTTCATTGGCCAACCACCAGACAATCCCCATAATCTTCGGTTGGTGCAAATTCGATTTTGGAAAGTGTTTGAGTGTTTTGTCATGATCAAGTCATTGAGTTGATCGTTTTCATAAAGTATCCATTTCTCATCAAAAGTTGAAGAAATGGATCATTCAAATTTCACAGATGCAGCATTGAACACATTTCCAAATCGTCGAACACTTTGCATTTTCCTGGGTTACATCACCTTATCAGTTCTCTTGAGATAGCCTGATATTGTTGAAATGCTGACATCCGAGGTATTTCTCTGATATTTGAAGTGGGATTTGTTCGACTAGTGTTTACCGATGTTGATAGTCAATTAAAGATGGACGTCCTTTAACACCTTGATCTTCAAGACTCGTATCCCCACTGCGGAACTTCAGAAACCAGCACTGTATAGTTTGGTCATGATGTTGCATTCTCTTTCTAGTCTCCTCTCAGCCGAGGATAGCTAAATGTTTTGGGTCCAGAGATGAAAAGACTTCAACAGAGAATTTTAACTTGCTATGGTATAGAGTGGGCAAAACCGAAAATGAAACTATTTCTCAGACAAGAAGAAAAACACAAGAGAAAAAGATCACTCTTTCAGGAAGAAGTTGATAGTTACGGATAACATCTATTTTTATGTCTTCTGCAATTCTCCAGGAAGGACAGAATGTGACAAGTGATGTGTTAAAAACCTGAGCAGACTAACGAATGTGTTGCGAAATCATAATGTTTTCATGGAGAACGTCTGGAAACAGTTTGTAATTTATACTTTACGAACGAGAAGCTTATTTCCGGCTCATTCCGGACTCCTGACAATGATTGACAGGATTGACAGGATTGAATAACAAAAACGAAGAATAGCCTTTTCCCGATAATTGCAAGAGATAATTCTAAATTCTGGAATCGTTTCGGAAAGATACTGGATATAAAAGGAAGAATATGGAAGTAAAATAACCCTGTGATAGAGGCGACTATTCGACGTAACGACAGAGAATTGAAGAATTTATAGTGGTTGAAACTTGTGAAACGGGTGATAAGAAAAACTACAAGAAAACTGTTTTCTTTTGTCATACAAAATTTAACTCAGTAAATGTCCAGAGATCAACTCAAGGTAAAGCGTTAACATTAAATTTGCTATGAGGAATGGTCAATATGAGTTAATATGTAAGTGACAGGAAGGGAGGTCTATGAATGTCTGGCGAAATCATTTTGGAAGAAGTTGTGGGTGCATAAGGTCCGTGTTTAGGACATTTTATATATTAATTACATTTTCATTTTATAAAGATTGCATTGACCTCTCTCATAATTTAGCCCTGCGTTTTTGGCGAATATCACTCTTTTCCAAAGATTGAATATCTATCTATCTATCTATCTATCTATCTATATGATTAAGACGAAAGATGGTCCACGTCTGCGTCTTATAATATATGGATTTAATAGGCAATATAATGAAACTTGATGAACAAAATACACAACAAAATGATAACAATATATTCAGTAAAATTGATTATATTTATTATATATTAATAGGCATTTTGACTAAAAATATTTTAAAGTCGGAATTTTCCGACACGCCAGTGTCTTTTTCAACGAGACTAGAAATAAACAAAGAAATAGGACTCATTCTTCTGGGTAATGTTGTTTTCTTTTTCTTCCTCATGTGTTGTATTAGTGTAAGAAATTTGATTGTTGGCCTAGTAGTACCACATGGTTTCTACAGATAGCCTTTTACAAACCCTCCACAACTCCAAAACTCTAAAAACTTTTAAATATTTCTCTTCCTGCTTCAGTGTAGTCAATAAGCGTACTAATATATAATAAATATTATAATTATTGATGATATTGTTATCATTTTGTTGTCTTTTTTTTTCTCAGATTTCATTAACCGGCCTATTAATTCCGCACACGCACGAGCACACACACACGTATATATACATGATATGATCAGGAACAAAAAGGAAACGTTTATAAATCTAACATGTTTCGCCTTTATTAAAGCTTCATTAAAGAATGAAAAACGGAGGAAAAAGAAAGAAAGAGAAAATCTGTTAAAACAGCGTTCATGTATAAATGTCCGCTTGTAATGCATAATGACACTGGTTTGTCTATGCGGGATTCGGATGATAATGGATATTCTTGTGTGTATGTGTGTTTGTGTCTAGTAGGCATATATATACCAGGCATATATATAGCAGGCATATATATAGTAGTCATTAAAATATATAATTCACATATTAAGCATACATTTAAAAATAAAACCACTATTATTTATAGGTTTATTAATATCAGATATTATAGGTTTGTACCTACAACCCATTAATAGAGATTGTGCCATTTTGGGTCCGAGGTTAATTAATGGGTTAAAGAAATTCTTTCTCTCCGAATTTTGTTGCGCAAAACTTTTGACTTGAACAACCACAAGAACTTAAATCATATGTGTACATTAATAAATTATTTTTGCTTAAGAAGGTTTCGTTATAATTAATCTAATGAAAGCAGAACATTCATTTTTTTTCTTTTGTTAGAAATAATTGAATATTCATAAAAATGCTGTGAGAGGAAATTATTGAAACAAGAATAGTTGATGGTGTTGTGGCCAATTAACAGTTATCCATCATGAAAAGTAATAATTTTCTGTTAAATGAGCGATACAAGACGGACTGAGGCCGGCAAGGAGAAAAATAGAAGATAAAACGAAAAAGGAATAATTAATTATATTCTAGTGTAATTGAGCGCCTGTGAGATACTAAAGAATTTATTATGACAGAGGTGTCATCATTAATTTTCCATTTAGTTTGTCGTTTCAAGTCTCGCGAGACATCGAGTGACCTCGAGATAAAATGTTTTAGACTGCGCCATTTCACACCAAAGCATGGAGAAAAATATGCGATGGTAAAATAATCTTTTATGATCAGGGAACAGTAGTGAAACTTTATTGATTGTCGTGTATATTTTTTGAATGTTATATTTCGTCAGGACGTTGTCGATTAATGCTTTCGTATGATTCTTTTCCATTATTATCTATGACTTGTCAGGAATTCTTCGGAAAGATTGTGGGACAATTTTCGATAACTTTCTCCAAGGTTTTATATTAAAAATAACCTTTCACCTAGACGAACCACCCAACGCGAGACCATGTTAGCCCAAAGCTTTGGGTGTGAGAAGAAATGGGTTCATGTCTATCCCACGAGTATATGTGTGAAAGTGAATGCAGTAAACAACACTGGGATTTGAAATCGTCTAGCCAATTCCTCTCCCAGCACCGATAACAGCCATAGATTGCGTACATACATTGCTTAATCTAAATTTTAGACAATATATTACAATATGCCAAACATAATTTTAGATTTAGTTATTTTTGAAGTAAGGTTTATATTTTTAAGTTTCTTTACTTTGCCGTAGTGGCTAACAAGCTAAACTCGGAGATCATTACTAGTGATGAACTCTATCTTTACTGAATGCTCTGTGCGTTGCCTTGTCATAATCTGAATTAAATAATTATTCCTGATATATTTCGCCCCTCCATTTGAGTAAATGTATTAGAATGTTCAGGAAGTAATTATGTATTTCGATGTTATGAATTATGAGTCAACTGACCAAGGCAGAACTAGGGTTGAATGGTAGAAACATTCGATTAGATTTAGTTTAACATCTATTCTATATGATAATGTATTTAAGTGTTTAATTTAAAAATCTTGCAACGAGGTAATTTCAGTTATTCTTGAGAATAGAACGCATGCGCTGTGGTTTTTTTACCCAGGAACGCCAGCCTTTCATTTTCTTTGCGGAACATGTGTTTTGGATGTCAACAGAAAACCTAAAACTCAGAAAATGAGAAACAGGTGTCAACACCTAAACTAGAAAACCATCTGATATTCAACAAATTTAGCATCAGGGTGTTTGTAATTGTTTTTACGAGTAAAATATTTCAGAAATCGCAGAACATTCAGAAACAAAATGGAAAAAAATCTTTCAAAGAATTTTTACTGGGAAACTTCTATATTTTCTTAAACATGGAATTAAAAAATTGCTTCATTGAAAATGAAATGAATTACATTTTTGATAATATTTAAATAATTTTAACTTAAATTTTATATTGTTTCCATTTTGATAAAACGTAAATACTTTCCGAAAACCCTAATAATAATGTGTAATCTTTTAAAAGGAAAAAAAAGATGACTATAGTATTCGAAGTTTAATTGTAAAATGGTTTTATTCATGAAAAATTAGAAGTTCATCAAATAAATTATCTAACGAGGTGCATTGCCAAGGTGATATATTTACCAAGGTAGTCCTGTGATTAAATTGATTGAATACGAAGAACTGATTTCGAATTCCAGTCTGATTCGTTGAATTCACTTACGCGTGAATCCTCATGGGAAATGTATGTATCCATCTCATTTTCCCACAGCTATGAGTTGTATAGTAGAATAGATTAGCTCCTATTGAATAGCAGAATACGCCAGGGTTGAATAGTAGAACAGACTGGACCCTGATGGATAGCAGAATAGGACAACGTTGAATAGCAGAACATATGGGATGCTATTGAATCGTAACGATCCTAGTGAATTATTGTAGTCGTGTGCTATACTGTATTTAAGTTCAATACATATAAAATTTACCCCGGCGCCATCATTCAAAAGATTGTTTCGCACACTATTCCAAATGGAGTGAATTTCATCCTCATAGGCTCCTCTTCACTCTTAGCCTTGTGTCATACTTAGATTACTAAATGTCAATGCCATACTTCGCCGATTTGCAATTTATTTTCTTTCTGTATTTGCCGTTCGAATCCGCTGAGACATTTTTTCATCGAATTTCTCAAAGTTCGCAGAGGAGGAAAAATGTTCAAAAACTGATTTGTTCCAGCTATCGATCCATTTAATGTTGCAAGGTGTGAAACTCGAAGCTAATACATTTTTTAAATTTCCAATCAATAAACAAATTAAACTCATTAAACAACTTAAAATGTTGCTTTTCTAAATTATTTTTAAGATAAAACGTTAGAAGAAATGTTCTTTTACAAAGGGATTCAATTTCGGACCTGGAAAATTACATTTTGAATTTTTCAACTCGAAAAAAATCTTAAGTTTTAGATTTTTTTTCAAACTGGTAATTCTAAAATCTAGATCTTTCATCGCATCTTGTTGCAGTCAAAAGTTTTAACTACCAGCGTTTTAAAATTTTGCTTGTTAAGCCGATTTCCGTTTGTAAAAACCTAAATATTCATAAACTATCCGAAAATATATTACACAAGCACTATACGACCACATCAATATAGACTTCTTATCCACTAGAAACCGTCTCCTAAACTAGGAATTTGCTGAATGTCTAAATTATATCAGCTCACATAGTCAATACAGAGGCATTTCAGAACTAAACAGGAATACAAAGAAATGAGAGCACCAATTTAATAAATCACATACCAGACTATGATTCACGCTTATTTAAAAAAATTGCAGTAATGTTCACTCTGTACAAGACAACTGTATATAATAACCATATAAGAAAGACAAACTATTTTTGTTTCTGTACATATTTATAAGAAGTGCACATGCCGTAATGGAATGAGAAACCCGTGAGACGAGTTCGAACTTCTATCGAATTCGTTACAGTCACTTTCTTACAAATAAAAGGTATGATCAAAAAGTATTGGAACTGGTACTACAAAAAGAAAACAAGAACGTATATCAATTCGGCATTTAACATCCTTCGAGCTAGACCCCTTCTGAATTCACACACTTTATCCGGCATGGTTTTCATTTATGAAACCATTCCTGAGATAGCGAGCATTTCTCTTGGATTTCGAATTCTCTTGGGTTTCCCCATGTCTTGAAATTTTATTCCCCTTAACATTTGACTTTTGAAGAGGAAAAAGTTATAATCGGAGAGATCTGGGGAATATGATGGTTGTCAGACCTGGGGAATATTGTGTTAGACCAAAAACTACTGCACAAACCGTGATCACTGATGGAATCTCTCTGATGTGGTGAGACGAGCACACTCTATACACTTTCCTTCCAAGCACTGTTATAAACAAGCGATATGACAGTGTGTATGTACGACTGAGTTCAAGCCCAATCTATGTTACCATAGTAAGAGTCCTGATACTTCTGATCAGACCTCGAACACTTGCTAAAAGCATTAATCTATTAATCTCATTCATTGGCTTAATAGTAGGAAATACTAGACTCAATAGCATCCACTCTAATAGAAGGATAACTCTGAATGATGGTTAGATATGGAGTGTTGATACTACGTCTGTAAAACAAAACCCAATAGATTTCAACATCAAAGCCCAGTAGATTTAAATCCCACTCGAGAACGATTATCCAAAATATTGTTAGCACCAACTATCTTAGCTTTCCATTTTGCTAATATCCCTTCGCACT